CACAACCGTTGACACCGTCTTTGTTCATAACTGTCTTTGTCTCATCAACCACCATTGTCTTCGTCTTTCTCCACCACCTTTTTCTTCATGAGCGAGCGAGAGAAAGAGAGAGTGAACAGTGATAAAAGATTAATAGTAAATTGTGTTATTTTTTTCGAGAGTTTCTTTTTTTTTTTCACTGAAGGAGGTTATATTATAGAGAGCTAAGATTGTTATAATTTACATGAACAAAGCAAGACTCAGATACAAACAAAAGCAAGAGCCATTAAGGATTGGAGTGAGGAAGTGCATTCCTCCGAAACAAAAAAAATCCTTGAGCCAAGATGAAGGACCAATGGCAATGTACGATTGTAGGCGATACTCCGATGTGACACTTGCCGCTATGTTATGAGCTCCTAAATTAGCTTGGCGATTTTTTTCGAGAGTTTCTAGAAAATGTTTTTATCAAATAAATAGCAATTTTGGCAATTTTCTTTTTTAAAAATGCTATTCATTAATTTATTAAATTATCTTTTGTTGTTTTGTGATAAACGATTTATATTGCTCAATCACTTGTTCCAATCCCAATGCGTCCACCACCTGAAGAAACCGAGATTCCTAGAGAGCACAAACCACACCAAACCTTCCCGAGATGCGGAGAAGAGAAAGAAGCACTAAAGAGAGGCGATGGGATAAGATAAGCACCAATACCAAAGGCATAGCAAAGGACAAATAAACTAAACCTGGAGGAGCAACACATAGACAGGGATGAATAGAAGCAACGACCAGAAGAGACTCGTCCTGAAAAGCCTCACCGGAGGCCACACCGGAACCCTAGAGACCAAGTCCCGTACGAGATCACTGTTGCTACAGAGCTACCAAAAAAGCAAAGAGACCCCAAAGAAAACTTGAACAGAGCCAGAAGACACCCGAAACTCTCAAAAACCCGATCCAAAAACCTGATCCAATCCCAAACTTACTAACCTCTCACGAACCCTAGAAATCCCAAACTTACTCTCTGTGTTAGGATTCGAGCAATGGCTTCTTCTTCTTCATCTCTCAAAAGACGAGAGCAACCAATGTCACGAGACGGAGATCAGCTTATCATTACCCCGTTAGGCGCCGGAAACGAAGTG